AAGTGGCGCTGTGGCTCAAGTGGTAGAGCGCTAGCCTTGAGCTGAAGAGCTGAGGGACAGCGCCCAGGCCCAGAGTTCAGGCCCCACGACCGGATTAAAAAAAAAAAAAGAATGAAAATAGACAAAAAAATTTAAAAGTTCTATAGTCCAGAAATAACTATTGTTATTACTTTACAGTCCTCCAAGCCTTAAAAAAAAAAAAAGTTGTTCTAAAATTGAGTTGATAGATTTCTTCTCCTTACTGCCAGTCTTTTAGATTTTGCACTTACAAATGCCTCTGTTGAGTAAACCAGGTCCATCCTGGTGGTTCACGCCTATAAACCTAGCTACTCAGGAGGCCAGGCTAGGCAGGAAAGTCTGAGAGACTCATCTCCAGTTAACCAGCAGAAAACTAGAAGTGGCTCAAGTGGCAGAGTGCCAACCTTAAATAAAAAAGGCTACAGGACAGCTCCCAGGAAGAGTTCAAGCCCTGATACTAGTGCGCACGCGCGTGTGCACACACACACACACACACACACACTCCTGAAAATGAGGAGTGTGTGTGCCAGTGCCTTCTTTTTCTTTCTTTGCTTCACAATATGATTATTGTTTCCTTCAAAAAGGTATGGTTTCCGGAAACCACCATATGTAGAGCTGAAAGCTCGGCCAAAACTTGGAGAGAGAGAAGTTACTTTAGTTCATGTGACAGACTGGATAGAGAAGAGGCTGGAGCAAGAGTTTCAGGTAATCTTGTAGTGTTTACCTGCGGGTTACAGCAAGAATAGAAGCTCTGACTGGACAAAGGCCCTGAACTTCACCTGGGTCAAATAAAAGGCATAGACCTTCAAACCGGGAAAGAACACATGTAATCAAACATTGGCATACAATCTCAGGTGCAGTAATATATGCCCTAAAATATCCACAGAGCATTATTAAGTAGTTTTCAGAGGGATTGCGGGCATATACCTTTCATTCCCAGATAGCTTGTTCCTTCTATATCCCTAGATTCTGTTTTAGAATTTGTGGGAGTTATACCTCTTTTAGTGATCTTGGGCTATACAGAGCAGAAGGGAAAAAGGGGCAGGGACCAGTTGGGAAGTTGAAAGATAACTGCTACACACACACATTTGCGTATGGCACCCCACTTACTTTGAGTGAGTATTGCTGAAATTGAATGTACTGCCAAAATTTACATGGAAAGTAATGTATAAACGGATAAGCAAAGTGCTACTAATGTCATTCACTGATTGATACCCTTTAAAATTAATACCTTTTTGGTATTTACCAAAGTCAGAGGTCTATCATATGTTTCTTTGCATGGTTTTGATATAAAAAAATTAGCTTGCATTTTCTTGCTAAGATTTAAAGGGATGAATTCACTGATGCATTCTAGACTTAATTTGAAAATACTGTTGGTGATTAACTCAATTCTCCTAAATTAGTGTTATTTATTGCTTCATGAGTAATTTTATAAATTAAACTATTTGGGAGAACTAGTTTGGAATGTGCAGGAAGGACGATACAGCCTGCTGGGCTTTCTTCCACATGACCATTCTTTAATATCTCTTTGCAGAAAGTTTTCGTCATGCCAAACATGGATGATGTTTATATCCCTATAATGCACTCAGCCATGGACCCTCGTTCCACTTCTTGCCTCCTGAAAGACCCTTCACTGGAGGCTACTGACCAGCTATGATGGGTGACAATAGATGTTCAGTATTATGAGACCTAACTCGAGGTGTGGAGTTCATGGCTGCCATCTGTGCTATGGCACTGGCCTTTATTTGTGCCACAGCCACTGTCTCTTAAAGGATTGCTTCTGCCCTGCCTGTTGGTGCCCATTCCACTGTGAAGTGTCATTCCCTGCATCCAATGACGAGTGTCTGGATTGCCTGCTGCAAAGCTTTGATTGGCAAAGGAGACTGAAAGAATCTTGGTGGAGCCAGAAGTTACAGGTGACTCACACTGCAGCTTTTAAAAGTCTACCACTTTTTAATAGCAGTCACATGAGCACATTCAGAGCAAAGCTGTGCGACTGGAAGGCTTCCCCTGCCTCCTTGACCCCTCCAAAGCTTTTCCTCAGGCAGCTGGTGCACAATGAAACATTTTTTCACTCTACATTTTGTGATAGCAACCCTCCACATTCAGAATGTCAGTGTGGTAATGTGAGGAGTGGAATTTTGTGAACCATTTCATTGGTGGTAAAGAGATAGGCATACTTTTTTCACATTAAATTGTGCATTTTGGAAGCAAGTAGCCATAGAACACACACACACACACACAATTTCAGCTGGGGTGGGGTCAGTGGGATTTATGTGAACATTAGGCAAAGCTATGAGATCAAAGCATCTGAAGCCTTTTACCAACGAGGTACAATCACCTTGCTTCTAATTAATCCTGATTGTTGTTTTGAAACAGCACAGGTGACATTCATATATGACACTTCACACAATGACCGATTGTTTCTCCCCAGTACAGAATGGGGTGGGGTCAAACCAGAGCCAAGGTCTTTCTGCCATCATTGTGTACCAGAAAGCTTCATATGGGAATCTGAAAGCTTTGTTAATCTAATTGGTTCAGAATTGGGTTTTGTGGGCAGTTTTTGTTTGATGATGGCCAAAACAGAAAACTGCTCAACGTCAAACACTACATATCTCAAGATATTCATGTGACCTTTCTTTAATGTTGCCAACTTAATTTTGTGCATTTGTGTCAGATAATTTAGTTTACAAGTTTGAGGCCTCTAATAGTAATTACTTTGGGAAGCAAACATTTTATTTAAAACTGCAATGTCAAAATTACCTTGTGTAACTTTTGATAATTTACATCTGGGGACAAAGCTGATTGTGGGTTTTTTTAACAGCACCTTGCCTGAACATGACTTCAAAGAAATTAATATATTGAAAAAATGTATCTGAACTCCTTAATTGCATCATTAAAACATTTGACTTAAATTATTTGACCATTCCAGTCAGTGTACCGTTCCATATTGTGTAACCCGACCTGCTGGTAAAAGCTTGCATGTCTTGTCACTGGTCTTTAACTTTTGTGCAATAACTAAAGGTAAAGGACTAGATGCACTGTATAGAGATGACACGATTGTACCTTATTTCACTTAACCAAGTAGTGTGTGGGGACTTACAATCGCTTGAATTGTTTCACAAAATAAATCTCATGTCAAACACCAGATAAGCATCTAAGTTATTTCCAGCCAATCCTGTTTTGTCAGTATAGTGTAGGGCTCTTGGGCACTTGCTGGCAGAAACAGACCTCATTTACTCACTAGTCATTGTGGTTCAGTACAAGTCCTAACAGGGATTTAGAGGCAGTAGCCACTTTACAATGATGCCCAGTGATTCCTGCACCCTCCCCAGACTATTCTAGGTAAAGATTATGGGGGAAATCTTTTTTTTTTGGTTGGTTGGTCATGGGGCTTGAGCTCTGGGCCTGGGCGTTGTTTCTCAGCTTTTCAACTCAAGGGAAGCACTCCACTATTTGAGCCACAGTGCTATTTCCAGTCTTCTGGTGGCTCATTGTAGTGGAGTCTCAGACTTCCCTGCCCGGCCTGGCTTTGAACTGCGATCCTCAGATTTCAGCCTCCTGAGTAGCTAAGACTACAGGCATGAGCCACCGGCACACGGCTCACAGTGGTCCTTTTTAAAGCTGCTGTCACTGGCGGCTCAAGGGCTCCTCCTCTACCACTTGAGTCATCACAGCTCCATTCACCGCACTAGACTTTCCTGCCCTGACTGAGCCTAGATCCTCGGCCGTCTGTTTAGCTAGGATTACAGGCCCCACTTCCATAAGGGTGGCAAGGTAGGCCTCAAGCTTAGAAGGTGGCTGCAACTTTCCTCCTGCAGCTCAGGCCCTTCCACAGTAATGCTGGCTGGGACGCCCTCGCTCGTCAACACTGACGTGCAGGAAACCCAAATAGCACCCCATCAACCGTAGAATGTAAGATTGTGTGCCCCCCCAGGGGTCGTTCCAGCCCACGTGGGGCCTTGTCGCTCGCGGTTAAAAGGACGGCCCGCGAGCGGCGGGCGGCCCCAGTTATGCGCGAGCACGTGCTCTAGCGCCGCAGCTCGACCCCCGGCGCCACGCGCAGGCGCGACGGGGGCTCAAAGGCGGCGCGTCCTCGACCGCACACAGACACACCGACAACAGGGCGGGGGTCAAGCCACTTTATTGACGCTCGGAGGCAGGGAGGGGCTGAAAACGCAACGCAGAGCGCACACTGGCGTCCTCGACGGGGAGGGCCCTGCAAACACAAGAGCGACAGGTGAGCAAGCGCTGAGCAAGCGCGGCGCCGGCCGCCAGCCTTTCCCCTTCCCCTCCCCCGGCCCCTGCGCGGCTCAGACTCCAGTTCGCATCACCAGTATCAGCAGTCTAACGCGTGCATGAAGTGGAAAGTCATCATAGCCGAAAATAACCCCCACCACGCCCGAGGCCCACCGGCCAAACGACCCGGACACCACATACACCTCACCTTCCCGGGTCCGTAGTCTCGAAAGAACGGAGCGGAGCTGAGGCTTGTTCTTAAAAGGAGCGGAGCGGAAGTCGTTGGATGGCCTTTACTTTTACTAACCAATAGCATCAGTCTTCCTGCGACGTGCCCACAAATGTGTCTGATGATTGGCTGAGGATTTTCGGAGTCCTCCAGTGTATAGAGCGGCCACACTTTGACCATAGAGGTGAGAGTTCTGGAGTGAGTTTGGCACCAACGTTCTCTTAAACTTTTACGAGTTTCTTTTCTTTTTTCTTTTCTTCTCTCTCTCCTCCCCTTCTCCTCCCTCCTCCTCTCCTCTCCCCGCCCCGCCCGTCGGTCGGGAGGCTTGACATCTGGGCCTGGGCTTGCTCCAGGAGAGCGCTTTACCACTTTGAGCCTCCGCGCCACTTTTGGTTTTCTGGTGGTTTATTGGAAATAAGAATCTTGTGAACTTTTCTGCCCGGGTTGGCTTTGAACCGCGATCCTCAGATCTGAGCCTCCCGAGTAGCTAGGATGACAGACATGAGCCACTGGTGCCCAGCACAAGTTTCTTTACACATCTCCGTTAATCTGCAACTGGGGTGTCCCTCCGCAGCACACAAAAGAAAACTGCAAGCAGGAGACAAACAATGTGCCAGCCCTCAGGCTAGGAGCTGAGGCTGTGAAATGATTAGAAAAACGAAAACACCCGCCCCCCCCAAAAAATAAAATAAAAAAATGATGCCGGGCGCCGGTGGCTCACACCTGTCATCCTAGCCTCTCAGGAGGCTGAGATCTTAGGATCAAGGTTCAAAGTTAATCCAGGCAGGAAAGTCTGTGAGGCGCTTATCTCCATTAAGTACCCCCCAAAAAGCCCCAATTAGAGCTGTGGCTATTTTCTATATTTCAAAGTAGAGTGTCTTCTGATAATATGCTGACTTTGTGGTGACTTGATCACTTAATCTTTGTGGGCCTAGATACCCGAAAATATACCCCTCTCACCCCCAACCAACACCAAATTTTTAGGTACAAGTGAATTAATACCAATTATCTGGTACATTCTTAGAAAATTGAAGTCAATATTTGAATAAATGCTACTACAAATATTCTACTTTGGAAGCTCATGGGAGAGAAAAGCTGTGTTTATTGCCTAGGGCTGCCTCATACCATGATTCTCCTACTTATGGTTTCCCTCCTACATAATCTGCATTATGGATGAAAGCCATAATGAAAGAGCTGACCTTGAACCTTGACCTTCCCAATTTCTGCCTCCTGAGTAGCAGAAACTATACATATGTGTCAGTTTCTGGCTACAGGTTTTCTTTTCCATGTTGTGTCATGTCAGTATTACTTTAAGAAATGTTTCCATTTTCCCTTATTGTTCTTTAATATCTGTAGGATCTATATCTGAAAGAGTTAATATCTGTGGGATCTGTAAGATTTTGTGGGCTTTTCCCTTTATCAGTATACCTGGAAATTTATCTGTTCCTATTTATTTATTTAGAGACAGGATCTCAGTCTTTAAGCCAAGCTGGCTTTGAACTCAGGATCACTTGATCTCAACTTTCCAAGTGCCAGGATTACAGGTATATATCTATCATACCCAGAAAGATTTATGAATTTTAATTTTTTTTGTCAGTCTGAAGAATCGAACCCACGGCCTCATGCATGCAAGGCAAGCGTTCTACCACTGAGCCACCTTCCCAGCCTATCAATTTTCCTTCTAGTCACTCATCAGTGTGTCAGTTTTTGATTCATGTGTTTTCAAGCTGTTTGAGATGTTTGCACATAGTTTGCACATTGTTCATAGTTGGGATTAATTGCTCATAAATGGACTTTCTGTTGTTGGTTTTTGATGCCAACACCTCTAGTTCAGTATTTTGTTGGTTAATAAGTGATAGTCTGTGGATTTTTCTGCCTGGGCTGGCTTCAAACCTCAATCCTGAGATCTCAGCCTCCTGAGTAGCTAGGATTATAGATTTGAGCCACCAGTCCCCAGCCATAAATGGAGTCTTTTATTATTGTGAAATGTCTCTCTTTATCTCTGATAAAATGTTACATATATGTGTGTATAGGTATGTGTATATATATTCACATATCTATTCAAATATATATATATATATATATATATATTATAGTGTGTGTGTGTGTGTATCTGCTTTTGTGTCTATATGTTGTTATTGAGGCTTGAACTCAGCCTGGGCATTATTCCTTAGCTTTTTCACAGAAGCTAGTGCTCTACCACTTGAGCCACAACTCCATTTTCAGCTTGTTGGTGGTTAATTGGAGATAAGACTCTCACACACTTTCCTGCTCTGGCTAAGTTAGAACCAGGATCCTCAGATCTCAGTCTCCTGAGTAGCCAGGATCTGGCGTCTGGCAAAATATTTCTTATATTAAATAAGATCAGTTTTGGGGGCTGGGAAGGTGGCTCAGTGGTAGAGCGCTTGCCTTGCATGCATGAGGCCCTGGGTTCGATTCCTCAGTACCACATAAGCAAAAAGGAAAAAGCCGGAAGTGGTGCTGTGGCTCAATTGGTAGAGTGTTAGCCTTGAGCTGAAGAGCTGAGGGATAGTACCCAGGTCCAGAATTCAGGCCCCACGATCGAACCCCCCCCCAAAAAATAATGATGTCAGTTTTTGTGATTTGAATACATAATTCAATGACTTTAATATATTAACAAAGTTTTAAATCATCACCACAGTCAATTTTAGAATATTTTCACTAACCCCTGATGTTTTACAAGAGGAAGAATGTTTATGAGCTGCTCAAGAGAAGTTTCCAGAGAGTTCTGTGGAATTAGGCCAGACTCTAGGGGATGGAGAGGGACTGGGCAGTAAGGAAGTAGATGTACTTTGAAAGGATGGCCATTTCCATATTGGCACTTTGTTGGCCCTCTGAATTATTAAGATACACCAGTGACATTTTGTGCACTTTGCCATGGTAGTATGTAGACTTATCACAAAGGAGTGTGTGAAACACAAGTGAAAAAATAACCAGCTAGGATTAGCCTGAACTACCTCCTAGGGGAGGTAGGAGGGGAACCCGCCCTGCTAGTCTCAGCCAGATGGCTGGTGTGTGTTTGTATTGTTTTTGGCATAGCTCCAAGATGAGATCAGGAGACCTTACCTGTCATTTGAAGTCATGCCCCTTATCGCCACACATTTGTATAAGCTTTTGGTTGCTATTAGTACAGTTTGCTTTCCATATGTGCAGATTGTACATCAGCCAATTCAACCAACCATGGATCCGGAAATATTTGGATTAAAAAAATTGCAGCTGTTTCCCAAAATATATAGACTGTTTTCCTTGTCATTATTCCCAAACAATACATTGGAACGCCCATTTCTCTAGTATTTCCATTGTATGAGTATTAGTAGAGGGGATATAGGCAAATACCATGCCATTTTATATCACAGACGAGCTCAGGGGAGCCCTGAAGCCAATCTTCATAAATATGGAGGGACAGCTGTGTTCCTGGAAATGCCATCGAGGATACCACCTAGCTACTGTGACAGATCACAAAGAAAGTGGTACATGGTTATAATACTGTGGGTGGGGGCAAAAGTAACCATCATCTGCCGGGTGCTGGTGGCTCACACGTGCAGTCCCACTCAGGGGACTGCGAGCTGAGGATGGCAGTTTGAATCCATCCAGGATAGAAAAGTTTGTGAGATTCTTCTATTCAGTGAACTACCTGAAAGGCCAGAAGTGAAGTTGTGGCTCAAGTGGTAGAGTGCCAGCTTTGAGTGAAAAAACTAAGGGACATGTCCAAAAAGAAATGTACTCTTGAGCCGAGCATCGGTGGCTCATGCCTGTAATCCTAGCTACTCAGGAGGCTGAGATCTGAGGATTGTTCTTCAAAGCCAGCCTGGTCAGGAAGGTCTGTGAGACTCTTATCTCCAATAAACTACCAGAAAACTGGAAGTGGGGCTGTGGTTCAAGTGGTAGAGCACTAGCCTGGAGCTGAAGAGCTCAGGGACAGCAGCCAGGCCCAGAGGTCAAGCCCCATGACCCATAGTGAAGTCCATGGGTGTGATCACAGGAGTGGCAGGCATCATGCCAATGCTTCAGGTGATCCATACATACTATCATGAAGGATCTGGATGACCACATTTCATGCTACCTGGTCTCTTTGCCAACCAGACCAAGGAGCCCATCTGACCTGGAGAAACTAAAGAACAGACATGTCACATATGTCAAACTCGAGTACAGCCTGGGCTTAGTGAACAATAAGATGATCTAGGTCCACCTCTCCCCTAGTGCTCCAAGGAGTAACTGCTGGTGCTGATCAGTGGGTCCCCATTATCCAGTTCACCTGCCTGCCCAGCATGGAGAGCATGGTCATCTACCTTCATGCTGTTCCCCTGCCCCAGCCATTCATCCTCCACACCAGGATCCTTGGAGCAGGATTGTGTTTCAGGTGCCACCACTGAGAATCTTCAGGACAGTTCCTGTCTGGTGCTCACTGACCTTTACTGAAAGAGCTGGCCCAGTTCTGTTTGGCAATCCCTGTCTCCCTCCCTCAGCCCCACACACTGTCCCAACCATGGACCACAAAAAAAGAAAGGAAAGAAGGAAGGAAGAAAGAAAGGAAGGAAGGAAAAAAGAGAAAGAGAGAAAGAGAAGGAAGGAAGGGAGGGAGGGGAACAGGGCTCCTTTGCCTGATGTCCCTCATAGCCTGTCCCAGGCTAAGATTGGCATCACTCTCCAACTTCACATGGGATAGGTAACAACTAAAGGTCCCCATGGAGGATGGTTGATGGGAAAAGGGTATTGGGCAAGGACCTGGGGCTCGCTATGGGCTCTTATGGATCTCAGGACTTGCCCAGCACCCCACCTCTCAGGCAGAAGGTTATAAATGTGGCAGACAGCTGTGGACCCTAGACTTCTGGCTTGGTCCAGGGCCATCTGCCCTGGTGGCAGAGCCATATCCTCCCTTCCTCTCCCTACTTCTGTTCTGAAGGTCTGAACAGTGCCTCTTGTCAAACTCCTTGGCCTCAGTTGCCTTAGAGAGAGTAATACACCAGCCTTCTGCATAGTGGCTTTTTCAGCATCACTTAAGAGTAGTAAAAGCTAAAGAAAAGCTTTGTTTACATTGAAACACACACACACACACACACACTTTTAAGTTCTCAAACCACCCTTTCACATGAGATTCTTTTCAAGTCCCCTCTTCAAAAGTCTAAATAACTAATAGCTAATTGCAAGTCAACCTAAGAATCATTTTCAAATGAAAAAGATATTTTTTGGACTCAGGGCCTGAGCACTGTCTTTGAGCTTTTTTGCTCAATGCTAGATTTACCACTTGAGCCATAACTCTACTTCTGCCTTTTTGGTGACTGATTAGAGATAGGAGTCTCATGAACTGGGTGTCAGTGGCTCACACCTCTAAACCTAGCTATTCAGGAGGCTAAGATCTGAAGATTCTAGTTCAAAGCCAGGCAGAGCAGAAAAGTCCCCATGAGATTCTTATCTCTAACCACTCAAAAAACCAGTAGAGCTGTGGCTCAAAATAGTAGTGCCCAGGGCCTGAGTTCAAACCCCAAGACTGACCAAAAAAAGTCTCACAGGCTTTCCTACCCAAGCTGGTTTCAAACTGCAATCTTCAGGTCTCAGACTCCTGAGTAGCTAGGATTACAGTCATCAGCCATTGGTACCAGCTTTAAAATGAACATTTGAAGGATTTTAAACACACACACTTTAAAGTCTAGGTTATATTTTCTTCCACTAGAGGGTGGCATTTGTTAAACATTCAGGCCCACAGAGATTAACAGCAACCTCAGCAGTAAATTAGAGCCTGGATCTTGGCTGCCCTCTGTCACCTGCAGAAACTAAAATACACAGGTTTCTGGATTCTGTCCTTGGATATTCTGAATCAGTAGCAAAAGAGAGCACAAAAGGTGTTAGAAATCTATTTTTGTTTTTGTCGGTCATGGGGCTTGAACTTTGGGCCTAGGCTCTGTCCCTGTGCTCTTCAGCTCCAGGTGAGCACTCTACCACTTGAGCCACAGCACCACTTCTGGTTTTCTAATGGTTTATTGGAGATAAGAATCTCACAGACTTTCCTGCCCGGGCTGGCTTTGAACTGTGATCCTCAGATCTCAGCCTCCTGAGTAACTAGGATTACAGGTGTGAGCCACTGGCGCCTGGCTAGAAATCTATTTTTACATATCTAAGACCTTCTCTAGCCTTTGTTGAATCTAATACAGTTACATTTTTTTTTATTCTCGTGGCAAAGAGGGTTTTTTGTTTTTACACTAAGATTATAACCTTGTCTTTCTTTTTTGGGGGGAGGTCCGGTTGTGTGGCCTGAACTCTGGGCCTGGTGCTGTCCCTCAGCTCTTCAGCTCAAGGCTAGCACTCTACCACTTGAGCCACAGCGCCACTTCAGGCTTTTTTCTTTTTGCTTATGTGGTGCTAAGGAATCGAACCCAGGGCCTCTGGCATGCAAGGCAAGTGCTCTACCACTGAGCTACCTTCCTAGCCCTATAACCTTGTCTTATTGGTTCTTTGTTAATGAGACTTTCTACCCATTTTTAGATCTTTTATATGGGCATCTCTTCAAAGTCATCCTACAGAATATTTCCATTTCTCTTGTTATCAGTGATGCCAGTTTGTGCTTTATTATAAGCACAAAGATGTCTAAAGTAGTACTTGACTGTGGAGCAAGATTATGGGCAACACTATCCGAACAAAACCAGTGGTTATCAGCCTGAATTACCAAATCAAGGAGAGAAGAACTTGAAGCATGTAGACCTGTTTAAGCCTAAGAACAACCTCAGTGGTGCACAAGAAATTCTGAGAACATGGAACAGTGTAATTAAAGCCTGGGGATTTGGTTCAGCTCAATACAAGATAAATATTCCTACCTGGCCCAGGTTCCTTGGATGAATTTGGTTTGTTTCCAGGATGTTTAAAACTGATTTATGAGTCAGATTGAGGTCAGTTTTCAGCTACAACATTTACAGGGTCACAATGACATTTTGAATTGGCAAAGGCCTGCTACCATCCCAGTACACAAAGTTCCCCTTGTAGGCTTACTCTGAGATAATATGCAGAAGAGATATGAAAACCGTTTTTCAGTTATACTTCTTTATGAACTCAAGCATGTGTTCTTAGAGATTGTCAGCGTGTGGTGATCTGGACAGGTAACTGTGAAAGAGATTCTCTGTGCCTACCTGGCCGCCATTCTCAAGGTTGCTGGACCTTCTGTTTCCCCATCTCTTCCTTCCAACCCAAACCTGCCTATTTGTGTTGAGACGTGTTCAAAATGGTTCTACTGTTTTCCCACTTAACAAGATTTGCCCTATTCTTCAATTGGGGTATTGGATCCAAGTCAGAGAGTTGGGAATGGGGACCTTTGTCTACAGAATTAGGCTTCCTGTGGACATTTCTGTCTGTTGTAGTTAGATAGGATTAACTAAAAGTGCACACAGAAAGGACAGGACAGGATACCTGGTCTATCTCTTGCTATTTCTTGATTATTTTTTTGCCAGAAATGCTTGTTGTTTTCCTAGAGCAAGTCAGGAAAAACTGGAGAGCTTGGTACTTGTTTTTTTCCGGTCCTGAGGTTTGAACTTAAGGTCTAAGCACAGTCCTTGAGCTTTTGTGCTCAAGGCTAGCACTCTACCACTTGAGCCACAGTTCCACTTGGGCTTTTTGTGGTTAACTGGAGATAAGAGTCTCATGGACTTTCCTGCCAGGACTGGCTTTGAACCATGATTCTCAGATCTCAGCCTCCTGAGTAGCTCGAATTACAGGCATGAGCCATTGGTGCCTGGCTTTCTTTTTTTAAAATTAATTTTACTTATTTATTTTTGTTTATATGCTACCATGGATGCAAAATCAGGGCCTCATGCATGCTAGGCAACTACCCTACCACTAAGCCACAGTCCCAGCCCCTGGCTTCCCTTTTTATTTTTCTACTAGAATAGTACCTCCCTTGTACCATGAATGTTAGTTTATTCTTTACTGTAACAAAGAACATATCCTTCATCCCCTTTCCAGTTCAGCAGAGGGCAGCTTGGGACCAAACAGCTGCTGATCTCTTTAAATCTGATTAATAGTCCACAGCTCTCATATAGCCAAGGAATCTTCCTCCCACCCATTCCCTCCAATGAGTTGTGACACATGTCAATCTTCACGTGGTCAGGCTTCACGAGGCCACATCTACGAAAGTCAGGTAAACATATATAGGACACACGAGCCCACATGGTTTCCTTCTTTGTAACTTTTGGTGAGTGACTTGACTGTGGGTTCATTCCAAAGGGGATGGATGGCTGCTGGGGAATTCTAGACGGAAAGGAAGGTAAGGAGGAGGCCAAGGAGGAGGCTCAGCTTGACCTTGGTCACTGTGGTGGGAAGACGCAGGAGGGACTGCTGGTGTTAATTGGAGATAAGCGTTTCACAGACTTTTCTGCCCAGGCTGGCTTTGAACCGCGATCCTCAGATCTCAGCCTCCTGAGTAGCTAGGATTACAGGTGTGAGCCATCTTGAGCCTGGTTTGAAGTCCTTTTAAACCACTGAGGCCAAAGGCTCAGAGCCTGGCCCGGGTCAGCCCCACCTCTGTCCCGCTCTGACTCCGCCCACCAGCAACAGCCCCGCCCCCAAACCGCTCCTGGCCCCGCCCCTCCGCCCCGCCTCGACCGGAAGAAGCGGCGGCACCCGGCGCTTATAGGGCCGGGAATGGGGCTGCCGCCGCCGCCTAGTCAGCTCAGTGTCCGCGGGAGCTCGGCCACTGCCGCGCTGTCGTCGCGCCGCCCCCGGAATCGGCCGGCCGGGCCCGAAGCCAAGGCCGAGTCCCCGCCATGCCGGCACGGTGGCTGCCGCTGCTGCTGGGGCTGCTGCTGCCCGGCCCCGAGGTGAGGGACCGGCGAGGGAGGCGCGGGCTGGGGGCACAGCCCCGCGGCAGGCCGGCTCGGGGCCCGGGGGAGGGTCGCGCGGTCGCCGGGTGGGAGTCGGAGCCGAGCCCCGGCGCGGGGGGGGGGGCGGACTCGAGGGCCGTGAATCCACACGGAAGGCGGCGCCGGGCGCCAGCGCCTTCCCTTCTCGAAGTCTCCGCGGCCGCCGGCCACTCTGAGGCGGCTACCGCCTCTGAGGCCTCGGGGGCCAGCGCGGCTGTCACGGTCAGCGTCGCCCATGGCGCGGGGGGCGGGCACCACCCGGGAGGGGTCTCCGGAAGTGCCGGGTCTTACGCCCACCTGCTGCCTTTCCCCACAGCTTGGGCGCCGGTTCGGTCCGTCTGGGGTCGGGAGGGAGCGGCCGGGCCGACCCTGCGCGGCGGGCGCCAGGGGCCGTCTTAAGTTTCCGATCCTTGTTTGAACTTTTTGGGCCATCGAAGGCCGCCGGGAATGTGGTGAGCATTTTCACCCGGCCCCTGGATGCTGCTTACCTGCCCCGCAGGTTTGATGGAAGCGGCTTTTTGTGCACCAGGGCTTCATTAAGCCAGTTAAGCGTGGGAATCGGACCATTTCTTATTTTATTTTGAAAGACACCCCCCTCCACCCTCTTCCCCCGTGTGTGGGTCAGAAGTGAAGTCACTTCAAAACTGGCCATGAAAAACGGTCCCCCCCCCACGCCCCCACGTGTGGGGCCGTCAGACAGGTCTCTGCAGCGTGTATCCTGTAGTAGAGGAGCAGAGGGCCCGGGTTATGTTGATTTAACCATTTATGACCTTGCTCAGCTTGTGGATTTGGACACTGTGGCCGAGGAGGACATTTTGTGGACACGCTTGGCTTTTTTCTCTTCTGGTTGGAAGAAACGCGTGCTTAAAAAAAAATAACATTTTATTGTTCAGGATGTGGGTCTGCTTAATGACCTCTTTGAAGGTACCGTGTTCCCTTTAATATGGCATATCGTGTACCAGGTGTCCAGGTGGAGAAGTGACCCGTATGGACTCTAGCAAACCCTTTGAAGCCTTAAGCATTTTAGATAAATAACTGTGCTCCTGGAGCAACAAGAAATTTGGAAGCTGTTAGAGAAGGTTCTGTTAAAATAAGATCATAGTTTACAAATTCAGTTTGGTTTGTTTTTTTTAAGGAAAGTTTATGTATACTTTCTTCATGATAAAACTTATTACGTATGTTAAGGTTTTCTTCCAATTAAAAAAAATCGATTTTCACAACTAGAGTCACATTTTGAACTTGAACATGTCACCTTGGGTTAGTTAACTGTTGCCTGGCATCCTTCCATCATTTGAGGTGGAAATAGGTCATTGTCTGTTTTTCAGGGCTTAGGAGTATATATATATTTTTTGAGTATTTTTAAAAATTATGTTTTTGCATTTGCTATTCTTTCACTGTATCCTAATATTTTAATTACTGAATGCCATAGATTAAGGAGCCAGTAAAACAGCTAGTTAGCTGTAGTTGGGAGAGTAATTTTCACCTCATGTAAATATTTTGAAACTTTATTTCAGAATACAAACTTCTCTAAGTTCATGATAAAATATTCCAAGACCCTTGTCAAAAGGTTGTTTTACTACCTCAGAATTTTATCCCAGTGAAAGTCTTGACACCTCCCCCCAATAGAGTAAGAATTATTATTTTTTGATCTAAAGTGTAATTTATAGCAAAGGTTGCACTTAAGCTAGGTAGCAGTGAATGTTGGCAGAACGCAGTGGTAGAACACAGACTTGAGTTCTAACTGGTCATTTGCTTGCTCAGCTTTACCTTCAGGCATAGCACTCAGTTTACTGATTTTTAAAATGGGATATCTTTCAGATAATAGATAATACATCTACATTCGCTTTAACTCCCATCAAAGTGCCTTCTACTCATTAAATCATCATTTAAAATATTGCACTGTGCAGTCTTCAGGAAATATCTTTTGCATTTCATTTTTAAATAATTTTATGGTATTTCTTTTTGATTGATGAAGTAACTAGGCTTTGGAGGTAATACTATGGTTTTCTTTCCCTTTATGTCTAGTTGAGCAAGAAATTGCTTGAGACTCTGGCTACTAGATACAGAATATAATAACATCCTTATTAAGCACAGGAGGCTCTCTTGCTAATCCACAATATGGTTTTTAGTTCCATTCTGGACTTTTCCCTTTCTCTCTAAACCCTTATCTTGTACTTAGTGTAGGTCAATGTTACATCACCACTGTAAATAGAACTCATTTTATGGTCCCCTCTTTCAGTTACCAAAAAGATTGGTATTGGTGGCTTAAGCCTGTAATCCTAGCTACTGAGGCAGGAAAATCCATGAGACTCTTATCTCCAGTTAACCACCAGAAAACCCAAGTAGTAGAGTTATTAGCCTTGAATAGAAAAGCTCTGGGGTAGCACTGGAGCCCTGAGTTCAAGCCCTACAACAGACCAGAAAAAAACAAGACTGGCAGCCTATAAAGCCAAATATATCTTTAGCTAATCACTATTTAGTTTGATGGGAAGGGAAATTTAAAAAAAAAGACACAGACCTGAGGAATATTTGTGTATGAAAACATCTCGTGCATCTGAGAGATGAGTCAACTAAAGACGTCCTTGCCCATCCTTTCTTCTGTAGTCATCACCTACAGGAATTATCGTAATAAGCAATACTGAGATATTTATACTGTGGTCATGTGGAAGATGTTTCATTAAGTTTGTTGTTAGGACTGCTCATCATGAAATTGTAGTTGTATACATATATATCTGTTTGCTTAACTTGCCTGCCCAGAGCTTTCTGTTGTAGATAGCTTTTCATAGCACAAGAGAAAATGTGTTTGAGTTACTGTTAAGAAAGTGCAAGGATACACTGTAGTCCTGAATATAATTTCAGTAGACTAATAAAAAAAGGTTTCTTAACACTGTCTGGATAGAATAGTCACACCTGTATGGACCTACAACATGTAGTTATTTGCCTGTCCCAGGTTTTTTAATTCCATATCTTTGGGCTGAAGAATCATTGGCTAACCACTTAATTTTCATCAGAAACCTTTGGTTTGGGTGGTACTGGGGTTTGAACTCAGGCCCTCTTGCTTAACTAGAAAGGAGCTCCACCAGCCTTTTGTTTTGAGACTGCAGAGTATTCCATGCACTTATATTTTATTTTGTGCTCTAGCATGTTCTCCCTAAAGAAATGAAATAAGGGAGAAAAGCCTAATGTGTCATTTTAGTGGATTCAGCTTTTATTATTTTCAAATAATGCAGGGTACTGTAACCTAGCAATACGATTAGAGCGAGTATGACGCCAACTTAAAAAACAGGGATGGTGAATCATCATCTGTGAATAATAAACGTTGGATATATTTTCCAGAAGCTGAGAATTGGTTCCTATCTTTATCTTTGCTCATATTCCTTGTGTGGTTTTAAGGTTCTCTGTTTCAGGGAAAGACCCTGGAAAGATACTCAAATAGTGAATCACACCAATGACAGCCAGGGAAAAGTGGAACCTTAAGAAAAAAATTGTGTCCTATAACTTGTTAAAAAGCATCTGTCACTGTAGTAGCACATTAGTAAGCCATCATCCATTCAAAAAACATTTTCACTGTTATGCCCAGCCACACACTGGGGAGTGGTAGGGAGTGGGATCCTAACTGATCAGGGTAGAGATGGAACTAGATAGGCGTGTGTTGCCCCACAGTCACATGGCTGGGGCTATAGGAGGTGCTTTCCAGATTAACATTAATATAAGGAAAGATTTTATTTTTTCAAATGCACACACTTTGTACTTTCTGTATAATATGGGAAGATGCTTTAATCATATTCATTGCCTAGTTAGAAAAACTAGGCAAACTAAAACCAAATAAACTAAAACTAAAACCTTCCTATATTCCCAATATTCAAACATTACTTGTATGCACATTTTCAGCAGCTTTATGGAGATATACTTTAGCTGTCATCATAATTCACCCAATTAAATTGTATGCTTAAATGGTTTTTCAATATGTTGACAAAATTGTATGACCATCACTAGGCTCAGTTTTAGAGCATTCTCATCAGCTCTGTATGAAGTAGCTGCAACCTCTCCCTCCCAAATAATCTTTCTGTCCTTAGTCAACAGTAGTCTACTTTCTGTCCATATGCATTTGCTTATTCTGGACATTTCATATTAATGGAATCATAATACGTGGTATTTCTTTTTTTCTTCTTTTTTTTATGTCAGTTGTGGGGCCTGAACTCTGGGCTTGGTTGCTCTCCCTCAACTCTTCAGCTCAAGGATAGCACTCTACCACTTGAGTCACAGTGCTACTTCCTGCTTTTTCTGCTTAAGTGGTGCTGAGGCATTGAACCCAGGGTCTCATGCATGCAAGGCAAGCACTCAACCACTGAGCCACCTTCCCAGCCCCAACATGTGGTATTTCTAACTGGTTTGTTTTACTTAACGTGATGTTCTCAAAACTTATTTATGTGTCAGTACTTCGTTCCTTTTTTAGTGTGGAAAATATTCCATTACTATATGATATACCACATTTTGTTTATCCGTTTAGCATTTGGTTATTTTCACATTTTGGCTATTATGGATGATTCAATTATGAACACTCGGGTTTGTAATGGATAAACTCCCATTTTTCTTGGAATAGAATTGCTGGGTCAGTACCTAGAAATTGGATTGCTTGTCCTATGGAAATTTTGTTTAACCTTTCTAAGTGCTACCAGACTGTTTTTCCAAAGCAACTGTGCTACATTACATTACTACCTGCAGTATAGGAGGGTTCCGGTTTCTCCATATCCTCCTCTACAGTTATTACCTGTCTTTTCGGTTGTAGCCATCCTAGTGGGCATGAAGTTGTAACTTAGCGTGCTTTTGATTTTCATTTCTTTAATGGTTATTTGACTAACATCTTGATATGTATCCTTCCAGGCATTTTTTTCTTGCCTATGTTTATGTATTTTTCTCCCCAAACAAACAGATTCCCCTGCTCCTCCTAAGTTCAA